AATGGGCGTCTGGTTTTGTTGGTGGTCGTCAACAATCAATGAAGGGAGGTCCCGAAAAAGTGAGTAGCTTTTGTAATCTGGACTAACTTTTATGATTGTTGTAAACCTGTTGCATCTAAATTCTGCATGATTCTAACTTGGGGGCTACCTTTGCAACAATTTTAATCAAGCTATTTCTATTTATCATCTTTTCAGGAGCATGAGAAGGGTGGGCGACAAGGGAAAACGATAAATATATTCTCCATCGCTTCAGGGCATTTGTAAGCGCTATCATTTTTCTAACCTGCTTGACCACACACATAGACTTAATATAATCAAGTGTGTTGAACCATTTTAGATAATCTGAATTACCTTAAGTGCATCAAGCATATGAAAAGAAAATCATGTATGGTATTTCTACGTCTATATGTGGATATTCGTGTGCATAAGAGTTTTAAGTGTATTATGTGAAAAGTTTAATATATGATTTGTTGGTATCAATTCCTTTCTGATGCCGAGGCATTGCTTATGACAGATATGAGCGTTTCCTTAAGATCATGATTCTCAGTGTCCTGAAGAACACCAATCGTCCTGTAAAATTCTGGTTTATTAAGAATTATCTCTCTCCTCAATTTAAGGTTGGCTCCTTTTTTCTTTGCTTCCACATATGTTTTTTTTTTTGTTTGTATCTATTTATGTCTTCTTATCTCTAGATGCGAACTTATCACTAGTTTTTCTAGCACTTTAACTTAATGTGTATCACATTCTAACCTTGCAGGATGTGATTCCACATATGGCACAAGAATACAACTTTGAGTATGAGCTGATTACGTATAAATGGCCTTCCTGGTTGCATAAACAGAAAGAAAAGCAACGAATTATTTGGGCCTACAAAATTCTTTTCCTTGATGTTATATTTCCTCTCTCATTGGAAAAGGTACAGATGATCACATCTTCATTTCTTTCTTGCGATTTTGATGCTTAGAAGATGCCGCTATAAGGCATTCGACATGTATTCTGTAGGTTATATTTGTCGACGCAGATCAAATTATAAGGACAGACATGGGAGAACTGTATGATATGGATATCAAAGGAAGACCTCTCGCGTATACTCCTTTTTGTGACAACAACAGGGAAATGGATGGCTATCGATTTTGGAGACAGGTATACATTAATCTGTTTCTTTGGCCTGTAGAGGTAATTTTGGTTTCCTTACTCTTACATTCTCAATTGCTTTGAACAGGGTTTCTGGAAAGAACATTTGCGTGGTAGGCCATACCATATCAGGTAAACAAACTAACTTCACTTGAACCTCAGTAAGGTGTTACTTTTCCTATTTTTGATGTAGCTTGTTCTATCTGTAGTGCTCTGTACGTTGTTGACTTGGTTAAGTTCCGAGAGACAGCGGCAGGAGATAATCTAAGAGTATTCTATGAGACGCTTAGCAAGGATCCAAATAGTTTGTCCAACCTAGATCAGGCAAGTTGTACAATATGATTCTCTCTACTTAGGGCTGTAATCTTTCCTTGATGGTCACACTATCTTTTTCTTTTATTTGAAAGCCTTTGCATTTGACTCTTATCATACACAATGCTCTGAATCTTTAGAACATTCTACTACTGGTTGGACTTATCATCACGAGTTCCACTTGTTGATGGTATGGCATTATCTTGTTTCAGGATCTTCCTAATTATGCTCAGCATACTGTTCCTATATTTTCACTTCCCCAAGAGTGGTTGTGGTGTGAATCTTGGTGTGGAAACGCCACAAAAGCCAAGGCCAGAACAATTGACCTTTGCAATAACCCCATGACAAAGGAACCAAAGCTTCAGGTAAGCAATTGTTTTTTCAAGCTTCCCCTATGAATTTTATTCTTCATATCCACAACACTCATAAAGCATTGTTTATTAAATGTTGTGTTCTTCTGCAGGGTGCCAGAAGAATCGTAACTGAATGGCCCGATCTTGATCTCGAAGCACGGAAATTCACAGCAAAAATCTTGGGTGAAGATGTGGAACTCGTCAACGAGCCAGTAGCTGCTCCTGCTACAGACAAGCCTAACCCTCCTCCATCAAGTGACATCTCTAAAGATACAGAACAAGACTTGGAATCTAAAGCAGAACTGTAAATGCAAGGTTCCTAAAGAGGAGAAGATAAACTAGACAATCATGGCTATTTTGCAATTGCTAGATAAGGTTTCTAGTTCTGTAGCTACAGTTTCGTAGACATCTCTCAGATAAATTAGACAGAAGATAAAAGTCAACAAATTGCAGGAGAATAATATCAGTATAATATGATTTTGAATCAATAACAAAACTCATCTATATGTAAACATAGTCATACGTATTTTATTCACTTCGACGAGAGTTCTCTTTCGGTTTAGAGAATTTATGCACGTCACTCACCCCCCGATATCGAATTAAACCAAACCGACAAACCAAGAAGAAAACAGAACCGGAATTTCGAATTCACATGTGTCGGTGTCTGTATAAAAAGCAACACGTGTTCTTGGAGCAAAGAAACCTTACACAGTTTTCAATTCTCAGCAAGTTGAATCGATCACTCTCCGATCTACATCAATTGATAACTTCAAATTCTTGAACTTTCCATCGATTTCGTGACTTGTGTATGAAACCCTAGGTTCCTAAAATTGATTCCTTTTGAAAAAATGGAGGGTTCGTCGTCGACGATAGCAAGGAAGACATGGGAACTGGAGAACAACATTCTAACAGTAGACTCACCTGATTCAACCTCCGATAACATCTTCTACTACGACGATACTTCGCAGAGTAGGTTCCAGCAAGAGAAGCCATGGGAGAATGATCCTCACTACTTCAAACGAGTCAAGATCTCAGCGCTTGCCCTTCTTAAGATGGTGGTTCACGCTCGCTCCGGTGGCACAATTGAAATAATGGGTCTTATGCAAGGTAAGACTGATGGTGATGCTATCATTGTTATGGATGCTTTTGCTTTGCCAGTGGAAGGAACTGAGACAAGGGTTAATGCTCAGGCTGATGCTTATGAGTATATGGTTGAGTATTCACAGACCAACAAGCTCGTAAGTGACTTTGAATCTTGATGCCAGATTGTTAATTGTTGTGAAGCATCAAAGTTTTGATTTTTCTTTGGGTTACCTTTTATAGTCACTTTCTATATAAGTCAGAACAGTTTAATTGATTATGGTTATAACTTGACCTTTATAAGGCGGGGCGGTTGGAAAATGTTGTTGGATGGTATCACTCTCACCCTGGATATGGATGCTGGCTCTCGGGTATTGATGTTTCTACGCAGAGGCTTAATCAACAGTATCAGGAGCCATTTTTAGCTGTTGTTATTGATCCCACAAGGACTGTTTCAGCTGGTAAGGTTGAGATTGGAGCATTCAGAACATACTCAGAAGGATATAAGCCTCCGGATGAACCAGTTTCCGAGTATCAGACTATTCCTTTAAATAAGATCGAGGACTTTGGTGTTCACTGCAAGCAGGTACATATATATACTTGTATTTCATTTTCTCATTGGAAGCTCCCAACACGATTCTTATGTTTGACTTTTGGTTCTGGCAGTACTATTCATTAGATATCACTTATTTCAAGTCATCTCTTGATTCTCATCTTCTGGATCTCCTATGGAACAAGTATTGGGTGAACACTCTTTCTTCTTCTCCACTGCTGGGCAATGGAGACTATGTTGCCGGACAAATATCAGACTTGGGTAAACTCTTGGATATGGCCTAGGAAAAAATAGTTTACCTTTTTTTTTCTAGTCGTGCTCTGTATAATAGGTAATGTGTTCTAATCATTTCATAATCTTACCAATGAAGCTGAGAAGCTTGAGCAAGCGGAGAATCATCTGGCTCATTCTCGCGGAGGAATTGTGCCATCATCCCTTCATAGGAAAAAAGAGGTATGTGTGAGTGGTTCGTCAAATTTTAATTGCTCTTGCCTTTTCACCCCACTTCTTGAGGTTTTTCCTATGTAAAACTTCTACATCTGGCTAGTTAAGTACCACCGTAAACATCTAGCTACTAAGATGATTGATCTCTAAAGTTGTTGAAGTTTGTACAGATATATAACTTTAGAGAATGTTAATGGGTGTGCTTGTTAAAGATCTCATTTGACGTGTGTTCTAAATCACTTTTCAGGATGAGTCTCAACTAACTAAGATAACTAGGGATAGCTCAAAGATAACTGTGGAACAGGTCCATGGACTAATGTCGCAGGTGAGTAAATCTTGAAACGTAATCCATCAATGTTATATCTTTCCCTTAAGATTCATGGATCTCACAGAATCAAAATCCATCAATGTTGTACTTGTAGGTCATCAAAGATGTATTATTCAACTCAATACGTCAGTCCAACAACAAATCTTCCACTGACTCGTCGGATCCAGAGCCTATGATTACATCTTGAAGTTGCTCTTCTTTTGGTTTCTAGTTTTGGATTTGACCCATCGTTTGTTGTTATGTAGTTGTCGTTACATTTTTTATGTTGTGTAAAGAACTTAAGGCTGAAACGTTCTCCTGCAAGTCTAGATTTTCCTATAGCAGCGTACTCTCCGAGTCACTCTTGGACAAAATCCCGCGTTGATCATAGAGTTTTACTCTGTTTAAGCACACCTCAAAACTCGGCTCCACTTGCTATTCAGATCGGTTATCAAGCAAGTGTTTTGTTACGTGAGGATCAGCCCATTAGATTCGTCGGGCTTAGAGGAATAATCGGATGCCCCTTTTAAAACTTTTATTTATGGAAATCAGTAAATTAATGTTTTAAGAAGTCAAATGTTTTTGGCAGGAGAGGAGAAAGAAGAAGGAAAAACACAATAACATTGCATCTTCAACAACTTTATTTTCATATGGACCTATGACCACTAAACTCTGTCTTATCTTTGCTTGTTTAACTATATTTATAGGTAATGTGTTCTAAGCATTTTCACAAATCGTATTCATAATTTTTCTGTTGTGTAACACAATTTGAAGGCAAACGAGAATGGATTAAAATGGAATAATATTGGGTTAAGGAATCGTGGGGACATGGTTTGATATTTATTTGAGAATAAAGACATAAAAGATGAAACTAGAAAGCAATAATTTAGCAAGACCAACAAAAAAAAAGGGTGGTGTTTTGCTATTGTACGCCTCTCTCTCCAACGCTTTTTTCAGCTACAGACATGGCGCAGAGAGTCGGAGGATTGAAAAGATTGAAACTTTCTTCTTCAACTCCAGATTTTCCTATTGTTTTCCGTTGTGATGGAGTTCGTGTTCATCGACGTTGCTCTTTCTCCAGAAATTGTTCTTCTAATCGAAAGCAAAGACTCCGAATTGTGGCTCAGAATAAATGGAAATTGAACGATATCGACCCAAGTAAGACCTTCTTCTTCCTCTTCGAATTTGGATTCTTAAAAAGTACTCAAGAACAGCTACTGAGTTTTTTGGTGTTCTTCTATGATAGATGCGGTGCAAGAACGATTTAGTAGGTGGGTGTCTAAATCTCAGAAAATTCTGAGTGATGTAACATCTCCGTTGAAGAAAAAGAGTCAGAGTCTCAAAAAGGTTGATCTTGAGGATCAACAAGATTTTGAAGACTTGGAGGAACTTCTTACAGTTGAACAAACAGTTCGAAGTGATACACCAAAAGGATCTCTTTCTTTTGATGCTATTATCTCCATCGAGCAGTTTAGCAGGTGAGCTAATTTAAAACTACAACATGATCATTGAATCATCTTCACTTGTGGTTGTTGTAAAAGTTTTCATTTTTCTTTGACCCTTTCTAAGCAGGATGAATGGTATAACTGGGAAGAAAATGCAGGATATATTTGAAACTCTTGTTTCCCCAGCTTTATCTACCGATGCTCGATATCTGGTGGAGTATTGCTGTTTCAGGTTTTTATCGAGGGATAGCTCGGAGTTTCATCCGTGTCTTAAGGTATCTGGAAACTGGGATGCTTTCCACTAACTCTTATCAAGTTTTTTAGTTTCTTGAAATGGATGAGTTCTTGGACCTAAAATATGATGAAGAAAATAAAAGAAGTCTCTGATAACGTCTTTTACATTGTTTATTGGTTTCTGAACCATTGAAACTTATCTCTTCATAGGAACCTGCATTCCAGAGGCTAATATTCATCACAATGCTCGCGTGGGCGAATCCATATTGTAAAGAAAGAAATGCACGCAATGATGCCTCAGGAAAACCTTCTTTTCAGGTATTTCTTTGAGTCTTTTGGCTTATATGAGGTCAAAAATTTCTTTATTTTGTAATTGAATCTTATTGTTGCTTTGAAGGTTGGTAGTGGTAATAGTATAAACAAACAAAGTTTGTGATATCAGATAGTATTCTGCTCTTTGAAATGCTGGGGTAGCCGATCAATATTGATGAAAGGTTATTGGTGTTGAAGGGACGGTTTGTAGGTGAAGAAGCATTTGTTCGTATTGCTCCAGCAATTTCAGGCTTGGCTGATAGGGCTACTGTACATAACCTTTTCAAGGCTCTAGCTGCTGCCACTGATCAAAAAGCCATTTCTTTGGAGATTTGGCTTGCTTACATCCAGGAACTTGTCAAGTGAGTATGACCTTTGGATTGTTTTCCACTACTGGTTTCAATTTCAGATAGTGTGAACTGTTAACTTTTTGAATAGCGTGCATCTAAAATCTTTGTGCATTCGATGATATCATTAGTTTGTAAGCACTTAGGAGTTAGGAGTTTACATATATGATGCTCCTTTAAACTTAACTTCCTGTTTGATTATTTATGGACTCTATATTGCTTTTCAAGCTGAATATCTATCTTCTCGTGCTAGTAGAATTTAAATGTATGTGAACCCCATTAACTTAGCTTTTTGCATAGATAAACATAAACCCAACGTTGTTTTCCTAGCTGAGTATCTTTCCATTGTCAGAACAGAATACACGAAGGACGGAAGTCACACCAGACTACAGACTTTCCAAAGTTGTCATCGGAGAGACTTTTATGCATGGCCTCTAACAGGAAAGGACCTGTTTTAAAGTGGGAGAATAACGTTGCATGGCCTGGAAAACTTACTCTAACTGATAAAGCTCTCTATTTTGAGGTAATTATAGTTCTTTATTTTTTAAGTCCGTCGGGGAGGAGCAAGCTAGTGAATACTTCAGTTTTACATATTTCCTGCATATATATGCAACGTTAGCTGGAATTCTAAGTTGGTTGATTTTAAACTTTGTGAACCCATCTCTTATTAGACTGTTCTATTGGTGTAGAAATGAGAACCCTAAACCCTTCTCATGGAAATGCTCTTTTGGTTTCAGCCAGTTGACTTAAAGGGAAGTAAAGGGGTCTTGAGACTTGATCTCGCAGGGGACAAGTCAACTGTGGAGAAAGCGAAAGTGGGGCCTCTAGGGTTTTCTCTCTTTGATTCTGCAGTTTCTGTTTCGTCCGGCCCTGGGTGAGTTCATATGTTCATGTAAATTTGGTTGTGATGCCTCTCGTATGGTGCCATATGTCTGGTTAGTCGTTTACCTATATGCTAACCTGTACAATATTCATTTAGGTTGGCCACTTGGGTTCTGGAGTTCGTTGACCTAGGAGGTGAACTTAGACGAGATGTTTGGCATGCAATTATTAGTGAAGTTATAGCATTGCACAAATTTTTACGAGAATTTGGGCCAGAAGAGGATGATAAGTCGCTGTATCAAGTGTTTGGTGCAAAGAAGGGTAAGGAAAAGGCAGTTGCAAGTGCATCTAACTGTATTGCAAGACTTCAAGCTCTTCAATATATGCGGAATTTGCCTGATGATCCTATCAAAGTAGTTCAGTTCTCTTTTCTTCAACAAGTAGCCTATGGTGACATCGTGTGTCAAACTTTAGCTGTAAATTTTTGGGGTGGACCACTATTGACCAAAACTGCAGACACGGTCTACAAACGAGGTGATATTGCCAGGGCTTCCAGAGAGTCCTATGAAACTTTTGATAACGTGTCTGATCTAGATGGAAGTGTCTACTTGAAAAGGTGGATGAGATCTCCCTCCTGGGGTTCAACTGCATCCATTCACTTCTGGAAAAACTCTTCTCTAAGACAAGGCGTAGTTCTGAGCAAACACCTTGCAGTTGCTGATCTCACACTTGTAGAGCGAGCAGCAGAAACATGTAAACAAAAATATAAGGTGGTAGAAAAAACTCAAGCCACAATTGATGCTGCAACCATCAAAGGGATACCTAGTAACATTGATCTCTTTAAGGTAACGCTTTTCTCCATTAACAGTTTTTGCTACAAAATTGTCTTGGACGGTTTCCTAATTCTTTATGTTTAGACAACTTTCATCTCTTGTGTGCAATGCACTCATTAGTATTTTTTCATTACCTTGCAAACTATTATACAAAAGTAAAATTAGCAGAGACCATAGTGAGTCAATGTTGTCCTTCTACTCTTGTTTTTTCACTCCCAGGAACTCATTCTGCCACTGAGTATAACTGCCACAAAGTTTGAGAAACTCAGGTGCTGGGAGGAGCCTTACATGACGGTCTCTTTTCTAGCATTTGCATCAACGATAATTTTCAGGTTGGTTCACACCCAGACATGTGATAAATGTGATACCATGTATCTCGTGCACGTTACATTCAGAATGATTCTTAGGTTTAAGACTTGTGTTGCATGCATAGAAATCGTATTATCGTTGCTTCTTTAAGTTAGAAATTATTATATCCTCATTGCTGCTTTGTAATGAATTGATACCACTGTGGATACTTTTCTGCGCCTCAGGAACCTTTTGCAGTACGTTTTTCCTGTGTCTTTGATATTTTTGGCTACTGGGATGCTTACGTTGAAGGGACTCAGACGACAAGGCCGTATAGGAAGATTGTTTGGAATAGTTACCATTCGAGATCAGCCATCTTCAAATACTATTCAAAAAATTATTGCTTTAAAAGAAGCCATGCAAGATCTGGAGAGCTATCTCCAAAAGGTGAATGTAGTGCTTCTAAAACTACGGACAATTGTATTATCTGGTCATCCTCAGGTATGTTCTAATTACTGGATCAGGTTTCAGATCTTTTTTGGCCATTGATAGTGTTCGGGATAGGTAACTATTACTTGATGTTATATAACCTGGTTACACGATTTGAATCTTTTCTCAGATAACTACTGAAGTAGCACTGGTTTTGCTATCTATTGCAACGGTTCTAGTCATTATCCCTTTCAAGTATGTTCTGGCTTTTGTTCTCTACGATCAATTTACTCGGGAGCTCGAGTTCCGGAAAGAAATGGTCAAGAAATTTAATGCTTTCTTACGGGAACGTTGGGAGATGGTACCAGCAGCTCCTGTCATTGTTTTACCGTTTGTAAGTGAAGAGTCTACACCAGCAACTCAGGAAAACAAGCAGCTCAGAAAACAAACACAGAGATGATTGATAAAGAGTGCCAAAATTTGTATAATCTAGTGGCAGGTGCATGTTTTAGATACACTAGAAGCTCAAGAAGGAACAAATATCAAATTGTAGTTGACAATGATTCATTAAATGTATATGAAAAGTAGTATAGATGTTAGTTTATTATGTTTATCACTCATCTCCTTAGAAACCTATTTCCAAAACTTGTCAGCCTTAAGAGATTCATTACGATTCGCGCGTGGCAACTCTATCCGTTATAGTCTCAGATAATCTTGTGCTCAGTTATTTCTTTTGATCTTTATCCGAATAGGGTGAGAAACTCCGTCATGGTCATGTCTCCTTGCGTATGCATTTTTAGTCTCTTATTATGGAAATTTCAAGCATGATGCAAGCATTTTGACTCGCTTACATGCAAGCAAGCAGTCGAAACGTGAGAGAGAAGAGCAGTTACAAATTGAATCAGAAATTCCGGAGGATAACTCCTTTGTGTCACATGCAGCATGTTTTGCTTAGAGCCTTATATACAATAATCTTTCCATATTCACAAGCTAATTAAAATGAACACAAACGGACAGAAGATGAAAGTTCATATTGGAAGATATGTGTTGATACTTGCCGTGACGGCTTCTGTTATATTACAGCAGCCTGAGTTGGTCACCGGACAAGCTAGAGTTCCGGCTATGTTTGTACTTGGAGACTCATTGGTCGATGCTGGGAACAACAACTTTATACAAACTCTAGCTCGAGCCAATTTCCTTCCTTATGGCATCGATTTGAACTTCCGTCCTACTGGCAGATTTAGCAACGGCCTGACTTTCATTGATCTGCTAGGTAAAATTTCAAACACTTGAACGAAGTCATTTGGTTAAGATTCATCATGTCTTAGTATTAGCTTATCTTACTGAAAACACAAATTGTTTTGTAAAAACAGCTCAGTTGTTACAAATTCCATCGCCTCCTGCCTTTGCGGATCCAACCACATCAGGCAGTAGAATCCTCCAAGGAGTTAATTACGCGTCTGCAGCTGCTGGCATCCTCGATGAATCAGGCTTCAACTATGTATTTTTTTAGTTGTGTCGTCAGTTTTAAAATATATGATAGTGTTGAATGGATAGATGAATGATGGTGTGGTGTGCAGGGTGGAAGATTCAGCCTGAGCCAGCAAATGGTGAATCTAGAGACGACACTAAGCCAACTGAGAACGATGATGAGCCCCCAAAATTTTACGGATTACTTGGCAAGATCACTTGTGGTTCTCGTTTTTGGGAGCAATGATTATATCAACAACTACCTTATGCCTAATCTCTACTCCTCCAGCATCAGATACACACCGCCTGTGTTTGCCAATCTACTTCTCAGTCAATACGCTCGTCAACTTCTTGTATGTTACATCAAATATTCATATGGTATTATCCTTTAAATCAATCTTATGATAGTCTTTTGAATCTATGTGTAGACTCTGTACGGCCTAGGTCTAAGAAAGATATTTATACCTGGAGTAGCACCACTAGGCTGCATACCAAACCAACGAGCCAGAGGTGTTTCGCCACCTGATAGATGTGTTGACAGTGTGAATCAGATTCTAGGCACATTTAACCAAGGGTTAAGGTCACTTGTTGACCAGCTGAACCAGCGATTACCTGGAGCCATATATGTATACGGCAACACATATAGCGCAATTGGTGATATCTTAAACAACCCAGCTGCTTACGGTAAACTTCCTCTTAGATTATATGGCTGTTAAAGGGATTTTCTTCTATGCTTTCTACTTTGATCAAACAGAGTTTGTATGGTACAGGATTTAGCGTAGTGGACAGGGCTTGTTGCGGGATTGGGAGGAACCAGGGACAAATCACATGTCTGCCCGGGCAAAATCCTTGTCCCAACAGGAGTCAGTATGTCTTTTGGGATGCATTCCATCCTACTCAGACTGCTAACTCCATTCTGGCTAGACGAGCTTTCTATGGTCCACCTTCCGACGCATATCCTGTCAATGTCCAACAGATGACACTCCTTCACTAGTTTCTTTTTGTTTTCGTGTTTCTTGGTCTTGAAGTTGTATGTTATAATGGTTGAACCTATCAATCTATGAATATCAAGCTGAAACCAAAATGCTTTTACTGCAAAATAACATATGTGCTAATGAAAACAAGAAGACCCATGATTAGAAGTCTTAGAGAGGACATATTAGTTTCAAAAACAGAGCATGCCGAGTTGTGCACCAAATGCCAAAAAAAAACACACATGCATTGTCAATTTACTCCGTTCCTACTACTCCATCAGTTCATTTATCCCACTCCAGCTCTAACTGTGGATCAGTTTTTAGATGAGTAACATTCCTCGGTGGCAGCGCTTCAGTATTACCTTGACCTGTTAACCGATTCCAACCCATGATGTGTGGAAGGGCAAACTGCACAAATTACAAAATCTGGTTAAATAAAAATCACAAATATCCCTTCCTTGAAGAATATATACTTGATCCAGATTCATGTGCTAAAACTGACAGAAAAGCAATGCTCTTTGTTTTTCCAGTCAATGTTTTTAACTGATATAATAGAAACAGAATAAAGAGAAAGCAAAATTAAAATCCTATCTTACACTAAAAGCTGTCTTCATCACTGCAAATTCAGCTTTTGTGACAGGAACCACAAAATAGTCATTGGTTTTGAGGATGCCATTGTTTACGCCTGCAACAAAACCGCAGAAGGTAAGTGTTTATACAGTATTCCTATTAATATAAGGAAAGCTATTCCGTGCGAAAACTGTTATCGCCTTATTACAAAACTAATACAAGTGCAAGCTTCTATATTAACTTAACAGAAAGCTACCATAACTAACAATTTCAGTAGGATTCTGTCTGATGATCTATCACAGTAGTTATATAAATTTGATAGAAGCCTTACTCAATGAGATGAAGTAGCCGCTACCATCTGCGTGGGGCTTAATTGACAATGACTTCCTGACTTGACCAGCATTACTGAGGAGTCAAAGACAAGTGTATGTCATCAAGTCAGAACATGAAAATGCTGCGGTAAAAGAGGAAGTATCTTGGAGAATTCAGCAGTAACATCATGAATTGAAGAAAAAAAAAGAAACCTTGATTTCATGGAAGGGTCATGGAAAAACTCAGAGCTGTCTTTGGAACCCATGCTAATCAAGGATCCAACTTCAGTAGGTGACAAAGCAAATTTCTGCAACAATGTAGTAAACAAAATCAATATTTATCAGAGGAGAAAGAACACAAGTGAAGATAGAGAGCGTGAAAGAGAGAGCAAAAGAACAAAACCTGTTTCTTTTCCCAGTCGTACTTACGCTCACCAATAGCAGGCATAAAAGTCATCATCAAGGATCCACGACGATCTATCCGAAGATTTCCCGACTAAACATTTGTACTCACAGTAAGTAATGAGAATCTAAAAGCCTTAAGAAAACACACAAACCTAAAAAAGAAATGGATTTTGGCATACATCGATTTCGGTGAAACTGGGAAGAACAGGTTCAACAGAGAGAGCAGCTTTTCCCTTGAAAATAGAATAAGGTGCGAACAATCGACCACTAGGCTTTGGAGCATCTTTTCGAATCAATCAAACAAATTAGGGCAACCACACTTGAAACAGACAAAACGGAACAAACCAACCAAGTTATAACCTTTACCAGAGAAACCACGACCAGGCGTAGAAGAACTTGACCAGCTTGCAAAACCACGCAACGTCGAAGCTTTAACTCTCTCTTCGAAAAGTGACTTACTGTGGTCACAAAGGCTCCTGCTTTAACAAAAACAAACAATCCCAGAAAAGCCATTTGAGAGAAATGGATTCTAAAAACTGAATTTTGAGAGAGAAACGAGAAATTGAAGTAACCTGGAGAGCAAAGTGCGAGCTTGCTTCATCATCTTCTACACAATTCCGAGAAAACCGAGTACAGTAGAGAGTATCACTTAACGTTTTTTGAGGTTTTATGATTTATCAAAACGGGTTTTAACGGGCGACCCATATTTTGACCCGTTTCTTATATATTAAGTCTTATAACGGCCCAATGGGCTTTTATTGTTGATTGGGGAAATCAAAAATCAGATTATAGAGAAGACGAATCTGAGAAAGCTGAAGAAGAAGAAGAAGAAGAAGAAGAAGAAGAAGACTCTAATGGCGGACTCAAACTGATTTCAGACTCAAAAGGTAGATCTTTCGGGCATTCTGTTTTCGTTCTCTACTTGAAGATATTTCGAATCTTAATCTCCTACCAATTTTTGCTCAGATAATTGTTTCGATAGGTTGAGAGATCGAGTTTCATCAGCAAGAGATGTCAGACATTTCCATTGACGCATTGGTAAGCTTTCACTTCGTTTTTTTGCATTCCTGTGGATCCTGGATCCTGTATGTTTGTTTCACTTCCTTTGCGGATTCAGTCTCTTATCGAAGGTTGTGTGTGTCTAATTCGCTTTGCTCTTCTATCTAAATTCATAGGGCCAAACTATGGGTGACTTCAGTAATCATGAGAAACTTGGGTTTGATTTAGGAGCATTTGTTGGAGACTTGGCTTTTGAAGAAGATTCAGGCAGGTAACGTTCTCATGTTTTTATCTTAATTCAAGTATGACATATGTTTCTGCTTCTCTTTATTGTTGTGATTAGAATGCTCTCATTTGATTCTATCGCACTTGATCAAATCGACATTACTCTTTTCAAATTTGATTTGTTGGGCAGTGAGGATATTTCATTGGAAGGGCTTCAACAAGAACTTGAAGAATGTGAAAGTGATGAGGTAAGCTATTCATTGTACTGAGATCAAAGTTTTAAAGCTGAAATTGAAGCACCTCGGTTTTTTTCGTTTCAAGTATTGCTCATTATGCATAGAATGTTAGATCTATGGATATGATGTCCTTTCTATCTTGTTTGTGTGTCAGCTCAGGTTGTTGCCAATATACTATCCAGTGGTGCCAAACTTAGAGAATATGCAAAAGGTGTAGAAAACAATCTACGGAAGGTCGAATTGGATTCAATTGAGGTTGCTATTCTCTTACCTGTGATACATTGTGGCACTTGTTGTTTTCTACTTTTCATGTATATCCGTCTATAAGTTTGGGAATTTTTTGATATCGTAAGTAACTTAATTAAATGCTTTACCATCCGTGAATACTCAGGATTACATAAAAGAAAGTGACAACCTTGTCTCACTTCACGATCAGATTCGTGACTGTGACAGCATCTTGTCACAAATGGAAACTCTCCTCAGTGGATTTCAGGTATTTGAGAATTAGGCATTTATATCATTTGTGTGTGTATGGGCTTCTTTCTCCTTATTCTAACTATTGCTTAGTGGGAGGAATTTGTTTACTTTGAAATACATAATTTTTTTCCTGGTAATCTAAATGTGCACTTTGCTTCTTTTCTTTCAGGAAGAGATTGGTTCTATAAGTTCAGACATAAAGATTCTTCAAGAAAAGTCAATGGACATGGGTTTGAGATTGAAAAACCGCAGGGTATAGCTAATCAGAAATCACTATTAGTATTATCTCTTGCGGCTTCCACTCGTGACTCATCCAAATGAGCTCTTCTATTTGAACAGGTGGCTGAATCAAAGCTAGCAAAATTTGTCGAAGACATTATAGTGCCACCAAAGATGATAGATGTAATTGTCGATGGAGAGGTATTTCTTAAACTCCCTTTTTATGCAGCTTTAGAGATTTGTAGGATCTCTTCATGTTGTGTACATGTCTAATTTTTCTTTTTGTTTCTGGTGCTGTAAGAATTATTGATTTGGTGCATATGCTGTACTCTGACAAACAGGAAAAATAGAGAAAAAAAACATTTCTGGTTAAGCTTGGTATATACTGCCACAATGTGCAATACTAAAATTTTATTAAATTACCTTCATTTAGTTTTCTTACACCATGTAGTCCTATCTTTATGTACCCTGAGTACGTGTTTTATTGTAAAATTGTAGGCCTAAGTTGGATTGCTGAGGGTATTTTTATTTCTAATCTGATAGTCGGTAGTATTTTCCTTATTCAGGTGAATGAAGAGTATATGAAAACGCTTGAAATTCTGAGTAAGAAGCTGAAATTTGTAGTAGCAGATCAGGCGGTTAAAAGTTCCAAAGCGTTAAAAGATGTAGAGCCTGAGCTCGAAAAGCTCCGGCAAAAAGCTATTTCCAAGGTTATTGGTCTACTTTCTCTGTTACTTGATACTGAACAATTATATATTTTGCTGAAGGGAGTGTGATAGGTCCAAACAGTTACGTACCTATTGACTCAAAACACATTTGATACATGCATATTTCTTAAAGTTGTTAATTGTTGGATAAATAACTACAGAAAAGTTAAGTTCCTGATATAACTCAACTTAGTATTCCTCAGTGAGATGAATCAGTGTTCCTTCCCCCTAAAAGATTTTATGGCCAGGAAAAAGTTGCCATCTGGGATAAAGATTTTAAGTCGTTTGTGTTTGTTCTCTTCCTAGGCTGAAAGGGCATGCACGACTGCACGTTGATGAAGAATTCTAAATGTGTTCTCATGCAATAGATTTAAATTCATTTTGCAGGTGTATGATTTTATTGTCCAGAAGCTTATAGCCCTGAGGAAACCCAAAACAAACATTCAGATTCTTCAACAGAGTGTGTTATTAAAGTACAAGTGAGTTATGCTCTCCAAGCCCCTTTACTTGGTTTACGTAGTGAAACTACAATTGTACAACGTCTCCTGCTTGCATGTATGTTTCTGTTAACTTTTTTTGCATGTGTATGTGGACATCACCTTACAAACGATTTGGTTAGTTATCTTGCTTTGGATTTTGCCTGTGTGTTGTTGTCGGAATTTTTTTATTTTACATGTTACTGATATCCAACTTGATGTTGTATTGCTTCTACAAGATTTATGTGGATACATACTTCATTCACCAATTACAATTTAATGATAGGTATATTATCTCCTTCCTCAAAGAACATGGAAAAGAAGTGTTTATGGATGTCCGTGCTGCATACATTGATACCATGAACAAGGTGATATTCTTTTTCTTGAATTTGCTTGCACCATGCTGCAACTCCTTTATATAGTCTTAGTTGGATGAGGTAGTATACACAGATAGATTTGACTTAGGTTAATCTCCGCAAATGTAAGGTAGTGAATACAACA